CTGCAGCGCGTTCGACGCGGCCGGCGGCGGGTGGCTGTGCGATGTCAACGCGGACGAGGGAGACGTGGTGAGGGGTTGCGGGGCTGCCGCCGCGGGCCGAGGGCGGCGTCGACCGCGGCACCCCTCGCGCTGCAGTCTTCGCGCAACACATCCAGCACGTGGGTGACAACCGGGCAGCGCCTTGCCGAGGCCCGCAGGGTACGCCTCGGGCCTGGCCGCGTCCTTCCGCGCCCGCCACCACCCCCCAAGCGCTCACAGGCATGGGCATGGCGCGCCGCGCCCGCCCCGCAGGTCCGATCGATGTTCCACAACCGGCGGAGGTGGGAGCTGCTCACCGTCTCCTGCCATGCCGCGGACGGCTTCCGCTGCCTGCGCTGCCGCGCGGTGCCCCTGCGGTGGGCGGCGACGATGCGTGATCACCTTGCAGCCGCCGGCGGTCGCGACGGGCCGGTCTCTCTGTGCCCCCGCGGGAGGCTGGGGGCGCTGTCGAGCTGGGGCGCCGCGCCGCTGTTGGCGCGGGCGGCATGAACACGGACGCGGACGCTGATTTGGCATGACTCCATGTGTTTGCCTGCTCCCACCCGCTTGCGTCAAATTCAACCAGCCCTGGGGCGCACATGCACACCCCCCCTCCCCAGGCCGCAGCTTCCCGGATTCAAACCGCCCCGACTGGGCGCCCATATGCCACATGGCAGCCGCAGCAGCGGCGACGGCGTCGGCCGTGGAGGCAGCGGCGGGATCGGCGGCGGCTACGCTGTGTTTGCGTCGGAGCACGTGGCGTATCCGGGGTTCTTTGAATTCGACGACACAAACGGCAAAGCCCTCGTCCACAACTCATCAACCGGGTGCGCGCGGGGCCGATGCCAGGGTGTCTGGCTGCAATTCCAAACGGTCCTGCGGCCCGCAGCCCCGGCGCCGGCTATCTCTCCCCCCTTTCTCTTCCCCGCGACAGCGCCGTCCGCGCGGCCAGCTTGGCTGCCCTGAGGCTGGCTGCCCGCGTGTCGTCCCGCCCCGGCCGGCCGCACCCTTCACGCCTTTCAGAGACCGCCCCAAACCCCACTTCTGATCCCAGCTGCACACGCTCGCCCACACACACAACAACACAATACACACACTCTCACACTCTCACACACACCCACACACACAATACACACACACGCACGCACACGCGCGCACACACACATACAGACACACTCACACACACACACACACTCACACACACACACACACACAAACTCGTCACCTTCAGGTGCTACAAGGTTTTCGACCTGTCCAGCTACAGCCTCCTCCACGTGCTGCCCTCCGCGGGTGTGGCGGACGTAAAGATGAGCGGCGCGCTGCTGCTCGTTGTACGGGAGCGCGGCGCGGGCGCGGGCGGGACCCTGCCGCTGGACGTCGTGTCCGCCGAGAACGGCCAGGCGAGCAGCTCTTGCTCGCCACTGGCCTGCCGGCCTGCCCAGCGGGCCCGCAGCTGGGCGGGCGAGGCGGGGGCAGTGCTTGCGATGCTTCTTGGGACGACATCAATTTGCATGCTCCCACACCCTGTGTAGACACGAAGATTGAGAAGGGCAAACACTGATCGTTGCACGTGCGCGGTGGCGCCTGTGTCAGCAGGCCGCCTCGACCGCGCACGCCCCAGCCGTCCGTGCACCCAGTAGTCCACCCGCCAACCTACCTGCCTGAACCACCAACCCCACGCGCCGCGCAGCTGCTGGCGCGCCACCGGCTGCCGCTGCAGCCGCCGGCCTGCGACTCGGACGGCCCTGAGGTCCTGGAGCTGTTTGGCGCCCGCCTGCTGGTCAAACAGCCGCAGCAGCCGCTGCGGGTATACGACGTGCGTGGGCTGAGGACAACCGCGCACAGCACAGGGGCCGTCCTGGGGCCCGGGTCTCGCGGCAGCGGGCAACGCTCTTGTGCCGCTTGCTGCGGAGCGCGGCTGTTTGCGTGCGCCCTTGGTTGCGGCCGATGGTGCGGTTTATATGCGATTTGCGTCGTTCGCGGTTGCAGGTGCTGACGCTGGCGCCCGTGGGCGAGGCCCCGCAGCTTCCCGGCGGCTGCGCGCTAGTGCACCTTCCGGAGCTGTCGGCGTTCATGGCGGTTGCTGGGGACGAGGTGTCGGTTTGGGACATGGCAGCGCGGCGGGTGGCGACGCTTCGGGACCACCTGCTGTGGTGCGGGCGTGATGGGAGGGGTGCGCTGTCCTGCAAATTGCGAGCATATGCAGTGCGGGCCGCGTGTGCGTTTTGAGCGAGTTTTCATAATTTGCGTGGCCACGCACACGCAGGTGGGTGTGCGCGCGCATGCATGAGCGCGCGCGCATGTGTGTATATGTGTGTGTGCGTGAGTGTGTGTGTGTTTGTATGATATACACTGCACAAGAGGCCCTGAATGCGTGCAACCATGCTTACGATGTGCTTGTTGCCTATACCCAGCTATTGTGCTGGGGGACACGTTCCCTGAGCTACTCTTCAACGTCACCACCCTCGTCCCTCCCAACCCCCACCTCAAACAACCCGCAGGTACCCCGGGGCGAGCGACCTCGTTTACACCTGCGCCCAGCTGCGCGCCGCCATCTCATACTGCAAGCCGCCGCCCGCCGCCCCAGCCGCCGCCGCGCCCGCGCCCGCGCCCGCCGTGGCGCCCCAGGCCCTCGCGCAGGGGCGGCCCGCCGCCGCCGCGC